TGGGAGGCAGAGGCAGGAGACTCGCTTGAGCCCAGAAGTTGGAGGTTGCTGTGAGCTGTGATGCCACAGCACTCTACCTAGGGGAATAGCTTAAGGCTCTGTCTCAAAAAACAAAACAAAACAAAAGAAAACAAAAAACTTATAACCCAAAACCCAGTAAATTATTTCTAGGAATCTTCCTAAAGAAACTATCTTAAATACCATAGACTGTGTCTTAAATCTCTTTATATGAAGGTGTTTGTTATGGTGTTATTTGTAATTGTGAAAATTGTCCATAACTTAAATGGTCAACAATAGGAAAATGACTAGGTGAATGAAAGTTGCTGAAATCTCGTCTTCCCACACCATGCTGTGCGGCATCTGCCGGGGTGTGTGTCTCGTGCTAGTCAGTGGCCTGCGTTTCTGCCAGTCTGATCACTATTTGTGCCCCCACTGTGCCTAGCACATTGTAAACGCCCAATGAATGTTTGCTAAATAAATGAACAAATCGATGTTGATGCAGATGAAATCGAGTTTAAGTTGCTTCTTATAAATTGGTAAAACTAAGAGGTGTTATATTTATTTAAGTGTAGTTGGCTTCAATTCCCATCTATAATGAAAAGGTATTTCAAATTTAAACCTTCTGTTCCAGAAAATATTTTTATAGGTAAAATAACAAACATTTAAAGATAGATTCAGTTGTGAAATGTAGCAAACTATGATTTTTATAAAAAAAATCATTTTAGTAGGGTAGCACGTATGACTCAGTGAGTAGGGTGTCGGCCCCATATACCAAGGCTGGCAGGTTTGGACCCAGCCCCAGCCAAACTGCAACAACAACAAAAAATAGCCGGGCATTGTGGCAGGCACCTGTAGTCCCAGCTACTTGGGAGGCTGAGACAAGAGAATTGCCTAAGGCCAAGAGCTGGAGGTTGCTATGAGCTGTGACACATGACACTCTACCAAGGGCAATAAAGTGAGAATCAGTCTCTTAAAAAAAAAAAATCATTTTAGTAATAAATCATTCTCCAAAGTACCCTGGTACATTTATTTTTTAATGCTGCTCCTTGGATTGAAAGTCTGGTACATTTTAATGTAAAAGATTTTATGGGTTTTTTTTCTCCCCATGTGTTCTCTAAATTTTATGTATATTTTATTATTGTAAAATTTCTACTTATTTGCCTGTTTTTCTTTTTAAACCGATGATTTTTTTCCCTATAATCAGTTTTCTTATTTGAAATGATCAGTTGTCCAGAAAATTGCTTTTCACATACTAGCTCATTAAGGCATATACAAAATATTTGCAATGTTATTTTATATAACTTACAAAAGCCAGCAAAGGGAAGAAATTAGTTATTTCCTTTTATTTTTCTGGATCAATCTTGATTGTGATTGATGTAGACAAGAAACACCAATGTTAGGATTCTGAATTAACCTTTTAGCGTGCAGTCCTCTGGTGTGCTCGACCTGTAGACAGAGACCTTATAAACAGAACCTAGATGCCCAGTCATTTCTGAAACCTTACCAGTTTAAAGTTATCATTATTTAATATACTTATTTCATCAGAGCTCTGAAAATTGATAAAGATTGTATGCTGAGCTCATGAGGGCAGGGAAGATGGATGCTTTTTTTCACCTTATTTAATATACTTATTTCATCAGAGCTCTGAAAATTGATAAAGATTGTATGCTGAGCTCATGAGGGCAGGGAAGATGGATGCTTTTTTTCACCTTGTGTCCTCAGAGTCTATCGTAGTATCAGATAAGACTCAAGAAATGGTTGAATGCGTGACTGACTACTTTTGCCAATTTGCTTTGTAACTGTAAAAAATTTGTAAAGTAAAATATTTAAGTGGTTTAAGTAACTACTTTGTGTTGTAGGCTTTTAGATAGAAACAAGAAAGACTGAGGTTACCTACTAATGAAGGGGTATCTGGGAGAGAGGGGGGAGAAAGAGTTTCCCTTTGAAGCAGGGGTCTGTTGAGGCACCTTTCTGGAGCAGTCTTTCTTTATTGTTTCCTCTTTGCCTCTACTTCTCAGTGGTATTTTGTTCCTCTGGTCTCTGTCAGATTGTCTTACTTTCCTGTAATTCTAGTACTAGTCCTGAGAGAATCTTCTCTCTGGGTCAAGCTGCTTAACCTCAGGTCTATTGGGGCAGAATTTGTACTTGGGCTGCAGATTAGCTTCTATTCTGACAAGTTGGAATCTTGGTCTAATTAGCTATGGCCAGGAGACAGAATCATAAAAATAGGTCTTATTATCCTTAAATAAGGGACCACCTAGTGCTACTTTCTCAGCTTAGAAGTTTCCTCAGAAGGGTTTTCTGGCACCTGAAGCTGACAGTCACATTTTCTTTTCCAATAAACACGTGTTCCTGTCTATGTTCTTTAGTTTTCTTACTTAGTCTTTATAACCTGTATGAACCATGACATGGTCCATACACATTATGGCTTTAAAGTGCTTTTTATTCCAGAAATTTAGAATATTACTTTCACTGTGGAAAATTAAGTGGCCATTTCTCTCATCTTTTCTCTTGGCTAAGAAGGAGTTCGAAGCACGCTCCTGAATGTGTCTGTGGAGAAGGAGGGAGGCTGTTTCCTAACTGGAATTTGTGTGGCTTATGTCACACACAAATGAGGACACTAAAATATTTTCAATTTAAAATGGTTTTAGTGAAAATTTTAAAAACTTAAAAATTACAGCAATCTACCAGTAGTTAGTACTAACAGAATAAAAAGCAGAACCATAAGAATTAGTGTATTTCTCATTCCTCTAGTTCTCAAACTTTTAAATTTTTATTAATGTTTCAAAACTTTGTCTTAGATAAGTTTATTACTATTTAATTTAGAAAAAAGCCCACAGGCCAATGAATTGGTTTGGAGAATTGTGTGCAATCCTGTTTGAATGGAACCTTTCCTTTAGCTTTTAAATCAAAAGGGATTTGAAACATACTTTAATATACCGTTAGAGACAATTTCATTTGGAGGTCAGCAGTTTTCAGTCATGGCAACTATAGGCTAAAGAACTATTTATGGTGATGCAGAATATGACAAGGGAAATGACATTTTAGGGAGCTGGTGGGGCACCTCGCACTATGTTTGGCCCATTACCTCACCTATCCTATGGACTTATGCATTTTCTTTGATCTGAGACCCAACATTTATTCTGGTTTCACGTAATTCTATTTATTTATTCTGTTTATTTAACAGAATAAATTTATTGTTTGTTAACAATAAATGTATAGCAATTTAACTTTTCTTAGAAACTCATTATTAACATGTACAATTTTCTTTTATAAATAGGATACCAGAATCAGAGCTCAACCCTTGACAAGAGGACCAAGTGCCTTTATTCCAGAGAAGGAAGTAAGTTCATCTGTCTTAAAAAATACAAAGTGTGATTTTGTAAAAATTACAAGAATAGCTCCATTTTTAATGTAGAAGTAAAGATATGTTTCACTCTTGGGTTTTTTATTGATATGTTGGAAAACTATTATTTGTATCATATCAATAAGATATAAGAAATATCTCCAGAAGAAATTATAGAGATAATTTCTTTTCAGCTTCACTTAGAAGTTTGAATGCATAGTAATTTAACTATATTTGATTTCATATATAACTTTTATGAACAAAATGGCTAAAAGTAAGAAAATATAATATTAACCCCCAAATTTTAAGTTTTAAAAAGGCCACTATTTCATGGTAATTTAGATAGGTTACCTAAATATTAAGGAAAGATATTTTGAAATGAAAAAGTAAGTGTCCCAACTAAACTTACTAGATAAAACATGATATATTATGTAAGCTTTTCACTTGGTTCTAAATTTTTGATTAGACAAGATGTCACAGAATCTCCAACATAATTTTGTACCTTTTGTAAAGATAGGAGTCAAGATGGTAAAGAAAGGGAGGTCGTAAAGTGACACAAAGGAGGTTGTAACCAATACAAGGTTTGCGTCCATTTTGTGAGTTCACGTCTCTGTGAAGGATCACAGCAGTGTGAAGGAGCAGCTCAGATTCCTAGATGCCTCCCAGAAATATCCGGGCTAAGAAAAGTGCAAAAACCACCAACTGAGTTTTTCTCTACTTCAAGGAGTAATTTATTCATATTGTATACAGTTTTTCTATATACTAATTCACTGTTTACTGGAAAAATATCATTTATCTTAAAGTGCCAGTATTACTGTATTATTCCTATGGTGTTCTGAAATTAGTTAACAGATATTTATAGAGCATCTATTTTGTGCCAGGCATTGTCTTAAAAGAAGGGACTGGTAGAATTGGAATAATGCCAGAACATGGCCAGAGTCAGCAGTTCTTTTCATATTCATATCACTTTTTTAATGACTTTACCATTTAAGTAAAAACTCAAGAGACAGTAACATTTTGGGAGCTCAGTGTCAGTAGCTGATCCAGGTGGCGACCATGCGCTAGAGAATCTGCCATGATTATATCTCCTTCCCTCCTATGGTTTGGGGCTGCTCTTAATTGCATAGTATTTATAAAAACTTCCTGAAGCACAGTCATTTTTATAGCACATATTTAAAGATAACCTGGTTTTCAGGATATGTTGCATCATATGAATCTATTAATGTATACTGGGCATCCAGTTAGACACAAGAAACCAGAAATTTCTGCTGGGGAAAGCAAAACAAACATAACCAATATCCTATCCCTACTTATATGTGGTTCATCTGAACCCTGTTCTATTTTTAACTATCATCTTGGTCCCTGTAGTTAGCCACCTGGGGGAAATGAGCAAGTGAAAGTATACTTGGCTCTTTAACGAGTTATGCCATTATAAGTAACGTTTCCTCACAACTTACACTTTTCAAAAATATTTTCTTTGGTATTAAATTTCCCTAAATCAGTAGTGCCTTTGTATAATTTGTACTTATTTTACAGAAAAGACTGTGAACCCAGCTCTGAAGAGTAAACAGGGTTTCTTAATAGCAGTGTGGATCTTTGGAAAGACCATTAGTCTGGACTTTAGGAAATCTGGATTGTAGACCAGGCTCTGTTATTAACAAGGTGCATGAGCTTGAATTTAAGCTTGAGTCTATTTCCTTATCTCTAAAATAAGAAACATATTTTTCTTAAGTCTAAAACTCTAATTCTAAAATACACATAAATAATGAACCAGTGCTAGAATTACGCATTTCATGTCCATTATTAATACCCACAGAGTTGGGTCTTTCTACACGGTGCTAATAAGCTCTTAACACCTTTAGAGCCAGTTCTTGGTGTGATGCCCAAACTGTCATTGTGTATAAAAGCTATATTTAAATAATCTATTTTTGAAAAAGCCCTTTTGATTCCCTAGGATGGAAGATGTCCATTTTAATAACTTTCTTTGTTTTTAGTAATTAATATGATAGGGCTGAAAATAGGAATGACAGTCTTCTAGTGTCCTTATTAATTTTTCAATTAACACTTTCCTGCAAATTATCATATATTCCTTCTTCCCTAAAAAGACAAAGCTTTTTTTTTATGTTGAATAACTAAAAGCAAGCAAAAGATCAGACTGAAAATTTGTCTAAAAATGATGTAATTAATTACCTTCAGAGGCTGATGAGATGAAATTGTAATGTATATAACCCAGTGCTGTGGCTTTGGCCTCAGAACAAATTGATGTGACAGTGGCCAGGCAATGGGCCCTGGTTAATCTGCCTAATGTGCCTGGAAACACAGATGGAAGCGTCTTTTCTTCAGTTTCATAGCTGTGTGTAGAATGTTTGATAATTTAACATTTGTTGTTTAATAAATTGTGGTACCAGAGCCAAAAATGCGTGGTGCCTTTTTTTTTTCTCATTTCTGTTCTTCATATGAGCAGCTGCATAATTTCGGTGTCTGTTAATATCAAATGAATATTCATCTGCTTCAGCAGTGGCACAATTTATGTAAACCCAGGATGTGTTGATGTTTCAGTAGTTATTTTGTTTTGTGTTTCTTGGTTATAAGGTTGTCCAAGCCAATACAGTGGATGAACGCACTAACTTTCTTGTGGAGGAATACTCCACGTCCGGGCGCCTAGACAACATCACCCAGGTCATGAGTCTGCACACGCAGTACCTGGAGTCCTTCCTGCGGAGCCAATTCTACATGCTGCGCATGGACGGCCCCCTGCCTTTACCACACAGGCACTACATTGCAGTCATGGTAGGTGCTTAATTCCCCGTTCCCTCCTATTCTCAGGTAACATCTTCCTCCCTTATTCTTTCTCCTTCTAAAATTAGAATGCGTGTGTGCATTTGTGCCTATGGATGCATGTGTGTGTAGAGCTATCATTTTATGGACTGGAGTATTGAAGAAGCCTGTGGCCTTTTGGATACATTTAGAATACTTTATGCCACTTAATGCACTGAATTCTCATTGAATTTTCAGAAAAATTTTATGATTAAAGATCCAAAATAATACCCCCCCAGTTTTGATTTTGCTCTTAATGTCTCACTTTTATTAATAAAAACACGAGATGTTTGTGACATTACCTTAGTCATTTGATTATCACTAAATTGGTGAAATAAGAAAAGTATTAGTCAACAGTGATGGAGAATCTGAATAAGAGAATAATTCTTAAAAGAATTATTTCAGCGCTTCTAAGTATAGTTCTTATTACAAACTTGTTAACCAGTTAATATCATTGGTAGGTGATAGGGGTTAGGAGGAGAATTATAAACTGAGATGATGAGCAACAGAAGTGAAAAGGAGCTGCAGCTGACTGCTTAAGGGAGAAGAAGAATGAGGTTTGATGGGAGGTTAGGGAACAGCTGGGCTGACAGCTAGCAGTGCTGGCCAGCAGTTAGCAGGTTAGGTTTTTACTACATTTGATTTAATTAGCTTTTTAATATTCTGACTGAGTTCTTATACAACAATAACAAAAAACAGCATTCTGTGTTTTATTGGGTAATGAACTTGACTAAGACGATTTTAGCTCAGGGTTTTGATGGCAGTAAGGCTAAAAGCAGAGTAAGAGAGACAAGATGTAGAGAATAGAAAGAATAAAACAACATTGTTTAACCAAGAAGCAGCCCTGAAGAAAAGCGCGGTAAAAAGTGTACTTTGCGTGATTTACTAAATTGTCTGCCTTGGGGCTGGTTCTGCTGTGTGGGAAGGAAAGGATTAGTGGGCTTCGGTGTCCTTGGAGGAGGAGGAGGTACACAAATGTGACTGAGTCACAGTGATAGGATGTCAGGAAAGTGACCACATTAGCATGAATTCTGCAGTGTTAGGATGTAAGTTCATGAGATTTTGAAATGTTTCAAATAAGATACAAGTAGATATATTTACCACAGTGAAATGGACATGTATTTCCTTAATATATCTAGAAAGTGAGCTCCTGCTGACCTATATACCAACTTGTAGATGAGGAAGTAATTGGATTTAGGTGACAATTATCAGCCTCATGAATGGATTCGATATTCTATTGCAGTATTAAGATGCATATTTTAAAAGGAGGAAAAGCATTACTGGCTATAAAAATTATTAATTCCACCTGAATTATTTGTTTAGAAAAAGTGGAATGAGACTTTACCATGACTGTTTCATCAACGAATTCTTTTCTTTGTGCTTTAGGCTGCAGCTAGACATCAGTGTTCTTATTTAATAAACATGCACGTGGATGAATTTTTGAAGACTGGAGGTATTCCTGAGTGGTTGAATGGTTTGGAATATGTACCACAAAGACTGAAAAATCTTAATGAAATAAATAAGCTGCTAGCACATCGGCCCTGGCTGATCACAAAAGAGCACATTCAGGTACTCGGTGTTGCTTTGAAATATGGAGGGATTTGTGTAGGACTTAACTTTAAACACTTGCATATTAGGGACTTGAAAAGTAAAAATTATTAGATTAATATATGTAGAAAAGATTTAGTGGGCTTAATACATGTACAAACAATCAAGTAATCACTAATTAGCTTGTACAGCTACTTTGGCAAATGGCTATGAGAAAAGTTGGGTTCTATTTTGTTTTGTTTTGTTTTGTTTTTATTGAATGGTAACTATGTACATTAATGCAATTCTGGGGTACAGTGTGATGTTTTCACATACAATTTGAAACATTTCCATCAAACTGGTTAACATAGCCTTTATGTCATTTTCTTAGTTATTGTGTTAAAACATTAATATTCTACTCTTAGAAAGATTCACTTGTACCCTTGTAAGATAAACCACAGAAGTGATCCCTCCAATCACCCTCCCTCCACCCATTCCCCCTCCCCTCTCCCTCCTCTCTCCCTCCCCTCTCCCCGTATTCTTAGGCTGTTATTAGGTTATAGCTTTCATATGAAAGCTATGAATTAATTTCATGGGTTCTATTTTGAAGTAGTAGTTAGAACAAAGAAAATAACACTAACATGATATGATGAGCCTGTGTTCTAATCTCTCCTCTGTTACATATACCAGTTTGTGCCCTTTAGTAAATTAACTTCTATGGGCCTCAGCTCCACCCTCTGTGGAATGAGAGGGATAGATTAATGAATTCTAAACTCCTTTCGAGTTCTAACATATCATATTTTAAAATTCCCAACAAATTATTTTGCAAATATAAAAGCTATTTACTAGCTGCTGTGTGAATGCTAAGTTCCTTTAAAAATCAGAGTTCAGGCCAGGTGCAGTGGCTCACATCCATAATCCTAGCACCCTGGGAGGTGGGTAAGTTGTTTGAGCTCAAAAGTGCAAAACAAGCCTGAGCAAGCATGAGACCCTATTTCTACTAAAAATAGAAAAATTAGCCAGTCGTGGTGGCACACGCCTGTAGTCCCAGCTACTCAGGAGGCTAAGGCTGGGGATCACTTAGCCTAGGAGTTCAAGGTTCCTATGTGGTAGGCTCACACCATGACACCATAGCACTCTACTGAGGCTGACAGAGTGAGACTCTGTCTCCCCCCCAAAAACAAAACAAAACAAAAACAAAAACAAAAACTAGAGTCTAGATGAGAAATAGAGTTGTGATTGAGTACTTGTATTTCAAAAGGACCGTCCATCAGAGGCCTCAGGGTGAGGTCATTCTGCATGCCCCCTACTGTGCTCACATGTGGTGTCTATCCAGTAAACAGGAGCTCTCTGTAGAGACAAGTCAGTGGAAGCCTTAGTTATTTTAAAGCTCTGTTTGTAATACACACAAATGTCCTTGATTTTTTGATCCTCTCAGTATACTACCTTTTTATTTGTTATTTTCCCCTTTGACCAAAGGTAACTTTTGTCAATCTGTATAACTCTCAGATTTTGGTGACCTATCTAGAAATTTGTGAAATACAATGCTGTCCTAAAGTTTATGTTCTGATCTGATAATGTTAGTTAGATATAGAAATTAATCTTTATTTTTATATTATGTCTTAATTACTTTATGCCAGACACTTGGTAGGTAAAGATGAAGGCCCTGCCCTTAGATTGCTTGGAGTTTAGTGGAGAAGGCGTGGGGGTAATAATGATAATCACAGCATAGTAGTGTATGAATAAAGAGAATGAAGCAGGTTTCTTTTTTTTTTTTTTGAGACAGCGTCTCACCATATCACCCTCAGTAGGGTACCTGGAGTCACAGCTCATGGCAACCTCTAACTCTTGGGCTTAAATGATTCTCTTGCCACGGCCTCCCAAGTAGCTAGGACTACAGGCACCTGCCACAACAACCAGCTATTTTTTGTTATAGTTGTCATTGTTGTTTAGCCGGCCTGGGCTGGGTTCAACCTGCCAGCCCTGGTATACATGGCCGGCGCCCTACTCACTGAGCTACGGGTGCCAAGCCCAAAGCAGGTTTCTTGAAAGAGGTGACATTTGATTTTGGTCTTGGTGAATAAATGGGAGTTTTCCAAGTAGAGGAGGACATTTCAGAGTAAGAAAAGACCATGCAATGTTATGATATATTGAAGAATAGCTAACAGCTTTGGTTATCGAAGGCTAGGAATGTTTCTGGAAGGTGGATAATGGGAAATGGGAAGAAATGGATATGGAAAGAATCATACTGAATTACCCAGTCAAGACTGTATTAAAGAATTTGTATTTTGTTCTCAGAAAGTTATAGTTTCCAGAGTTTTATTATGGTACTTCAGGGGGTACACAAGATAATCCTTCAAAATATTAGTAAATTCAGGGTATGTATACCCTTATCCTTTTAAATTTCCGTATTTATGTATTTTAGTATTATGGTATATGTATGTAACTATTCTATATAAAATGTATTTTATAAGTATATGTTAATTTATAACATCATACATACTACCAGAAGTTGGTTCTCGCAGTTGTTACTCTTGGAGGTATAACTGACCAGAAGAGCTTGGAGATCAATATGGTAGGGAATCAAGAATCATTAAAGGCTTTTGTGCCAAGTTGGAATATAAAAACATTTAGTGATGCAGAAGATAAATTATAAATTTTTTACACAAGAATCAGAGAGGCCAATCACAATACAGTGCCAGAAACATGATATTTTAAAAAATACCATGGGGAGGTAAAAAGGAGTAAGATTGTAATACTTACAGTGCCAAGAATGAGCAGAAGGGCAGGATGGGAAGATGGAGAAAGGGTATGGGACAGGGAATGACTGTCCTTTCCTTCTTTGTGATCATAATCATAATCATGCTGCCAGGGGATTATGACATCCACAGAGTGATGTCCAGTTACTTAAGGAAATACAGGACTGTAACTCAAGAAAAAGGAGGTGGAGGAAGAAATATAATTAGATAGTTATTTATAGATAAGCAAAGGTCAAGTTGAAGGAATGAATATAACATCCAGGGAGATATTGTACAAAGGTGAAAGATAATGATAGAATATAACAATAGGAAAAGATCCGTGTCAGGGTGAAAAGTGTGCTTCTCCCTCAACCCTTTGCAAAAGGTAGATTTGTTAAAGTCAAAGGAAATTAATGTCAAGAAGAGAGGAAGCAAACAATGTAAATTCTACAAGAGATCAAACAGGATAAGGAATGTGTGATCTTCGTGGATATAGCTGCAGAAGTTTATTTGAAAAACTAGATTATGATGAATTTTTTAAAACGGTAGAAATGAGTAAGAGAAGTGAAATTAGAAATGAAGAGTATTGTCTGTCCTTTCAAGTTTAATGATAATCCTAAAAAGATTGACAAAGGCATTACCAATTCTACCAAACCTTTTGGAAATCTCTTTTGGCAGCATTATCAAATGTCATAGAAATGTTAATACTCTGCCCTAAAAATCCAATAGAAAGTGTTTTTAAAATAATGAACAAAACTATAGCACGAAGATGCTATTTATAGTAGCAAATAAACAGAATACAAAAAATTTGAAGTAGGAACACCTAACAGTATGGGAATGGAGTAGATAACTACATCACTTGATGCACTATAAATGCTTATGCTTAAAATTAACATGACGGTGTTGCATCATGAAAAATGAACCTGTCGAATGTCAAATTTGAAAAGAAGAAAAATACATGTATATTATTATAATCATACATGTAGAAGTTATATTATGGTGGTAAAAATGGAATTTTCCTTTCTTTTCCCTGAGCTTTTGGTAATAAATTATATATGTGTATATATGTAGTTAAATATTGGAAAGTAAAACAAAAGAAAGCAGTTTGGGTTTTGTTTTGTTTAGCCTTTAAGTAAATCAAATGAAAGTTTTATACTTGGAGGAGTAGTAGAGGGATGAGGAGAAGGAGGGGGGGAGAGAGAGGAGAAGAGAGAGAGAAGGAAAGGGAAAGGGAGGGAGAAGGAGGGGGGAAGGGAGAGGGGGAGAAAGAGAGAGAGGGAGAGAGGAGAAGAGAGAGAGAAGGGGGGAAGGGAGAGGGGGAGGGAGAGGAGAAGAGAGAAGGAGAGGGAAAGGGAGGGAGAAGGAGAGAGAG